AGAGATTTAAATATGGGCCATCACAGAGGTTAGAGTTAGCTTATTTACTGTGCACCTGGGCTCTCTCTGCTTGTTCAACAAGTTCACTAAGACGCTACTAAAAATGACCTCCAACCGCTCTGGAGTGATTATTTAAGACTCTTTCATCTTGCCATCTCTCCAGCTCCTATGCTGGAGTAGGCAGGACCATTGAGCCTACTACTAGGTGACTTTAAACGTGGTCCAACCCTGGCTGGGTAGCTCAGGTGGTTGGAGCATTGCCCTGATACACCAAGGTGGCCAGTTCAATATCTGGTCAGGGTACAACCAAAAAATGCATGAATAATGGAACAGCAAATCCATCTCTCTCCCTTCTTTCTTCTCTGTCTCTCTTTCTCAAATCAATAAATACAAATTTTTTTGAAGTGGTCCACAAAATAACTTTAAGGTATTGGAAGTCTTGAGTCAGACTCCACATACAGTACCTCCTACTACATCTCTTCCTCCCCTCCCCCAGAGTATGCATTGATCACGGGACACAGACCCTGCATTATCCACCATTATTTTTCCACCCAGGTACCTGTGTGCCCGAGTACAAGTCTTTGCACAAAGTGAATAGATGGTACATGTTTTGTGCATAGATTTTTCGGGAAATCAGAAATGGAATGAGGCAGAAGTTAATATGTAGAGATTTGGATAATTCTTTTAAACCATATTTGCAAGGTTGTAGAACACTCCATATTCCTGTTCACTTTTTATGTTCCTCGGATGAAATGCCCAGAACCCTTACCCCAAATTGAACTCTTCTGTCCGTCACCTATTTATGGAGATTTGAGTCATTCCCTTGGTGCTGCTGGCCTCCCCTGGGCGGTACTGGGGTTCTTTCTCGGCCGCCTCAGCATTCCTTCCTTTCCCAGCTCTTTACTGGTGCATCTCTGGTGTTTCAGGACTGGTTCCCCTGTGTTCAGGCTTAGAGACACTTCTGCTGAGGGAGGGCTGCCGGCTGTAGGCCTGAATGGAGAGCAGCGGAAATGAGGGTCAGAACTGACCCTCTTCCTTCTAGAGCACCGCTTTGATCCCGAGTCCAAGCCCACAGCATACATCTCCTCAGTTAAGGGCACGCCAGCATTCCAACAAATACACAGAAAAGGCACCAGTCCAAGCTAGGCTCTGACCACAGGAGAATAATGTACATTTTTATAAGGCCAGTGTGTTTTTGTCTTAGAATTTACCGGTCCATTATATTTCTCAAAAGTGGTACCACTGCAATATTATAAAGTGAAATGCCAGATAATAAAAGCATGCTCTTATTTGGCTGGCAAATATTATTAGAATAATTGTGGTTTATAGCAAGAAGACTAAAAGTGTTTGATATATCCCCGCTTTGCATGCATCTTGTAGAAACAGTGTACATACTTCCTGTGCAGTTCCTTGGAACCAGGGTTTTAGAACATTTTTATAAACATGTATCATATAGTATATTGTATCTGAAAAATGTTGAGACTTAATAGTTCTGTTTCTGCCCAATAATTTCAACTGGATTTGTGTACTGAATGATGTATCCTCTGCTGAAAGCCCTATTTTTTCTCAGCAGAGTCTCAAGTGTTTAATCCTTGACATTGTTGACGTTTTGATGGGCAAATCATGTAAATGTTATACACACATAAAGGGAAGTTAAGGATGCCTCCCAATGTCTACCTTAAAGTGACTTTTAAAATGAAAATAATTTTAAATAAATTTAAAATAAAAATACAGTAGTGTCTCCTTATCCATAGGGGGTACATTACAAGATCCCCAGGGGATACCTGATATCAAAGATAGTACTGAACCCCATTTACACTGTATTTTCTTCTGTACATACATACCTATGATAAAGTTTAATTTATAAATTAGGCACAGTGGGAGATTCATAATAGAACAAGTTAAACAATATATTGAAATAAAACTTATGTGACTGTGCTCTCTCTCTCAAAATATCTTATTGTACTATGCTCAACTTCTTACTTTAAGGAGGCACTTGGCTGCTTCTCTGTGGCGTATCTAAACTACCAGCATTACCACTGTTTTTTTGGGGCTGTTGTGGTAACTAAATGAGGGTTGCTGGGACACAAGCACCGCAAGGCCGTGGCAGTCATTCTGATAATGGAGGTGGCTACTCAGTGACTGACCTACAGCATGGAGGCACTAGACAAAGGGATGGTTCGAGTCCCGGGCAGATGGAGTGGGGTAGCTTGAGCTTTCTTCATGGCCACTCAGAATTTGAAACTTATGAATTGTTGATTTCTGGAAGTTTTCATTTAATACTTTCGGACTATAGTTGACTACGGATAACTGAAACTGAAGAAAGCCAAACGATGGATAACGGGGGACCACTGTAAATGGAATAATTCTATTCCAATTTATGAATGGGGAGTAGTTTGAGAATTTCTTAGCTGGTTGTTAAAATCTCTGGATGTGTAATTTCCTAAGAAACAATGAGTACACAAGTTTTGATTTGGTTTGATTTGGTTCCTGGGCCAACTCTCAACAACACATGTAATAGCAATTACAAACTTCAGGAACTATTCTTCCCATACAGTATGGGTTAGCTGTGTTATATGAAGTTACCTAGCATGTGAAACAAAACTGTTACTTCATTGGTGAAGGATACGATTATCTTAATGAACTGTTCTTGGGCTACTACTGGGGTTTCAACTTTCTAAAATACATATATATATATACATCGCCGAGGTTAATAATCTATGTATTTTCTCGTCTTTCTGGTTTTGTTTATTTGTTTTATTTTTATCTGCATCCTCATCATACTGGTTTTCACTGCCAGTCTGCCGTGCGTGTACACTTTTCTTCCTTTCTGTAATCCTCCCCTTTCTATGCACTTGGCTTCATTTTGATTCTACTGGTATCTTCTTCCTCCCCTGTCTGGACTATTCCCAAAGAAGCATTAGGTTCTGTGTTGTTTGCTACTGCCCTTCTCTGTGGCTTCCAGGGATAATTGTCTCCGTTAAAAAACAATTACATTTGTAATAACCCACTGAATGAGTAGATTAGAACTTTTTACATATCTAACTTATTTAACATGAAAAGAAAATTGTGTACTTACAGGAAACTAGTCCCTTACTATAAGAGGTTAATATTTTGATTATGGATAAGTATGTTAATAAAATATTAACCTTGTGTGAAGACTTTTACATGAATTTTCTCATTTAACATTTACAACATTAGGGGGTAGGTCATAACAAACTTCTTGTTTTAAATATGAAAAACTCGATGAGGATGGCTGGCGTGAATAGTCACATACAGACAAAAAATGCAAGTTAGATCCATAGTCAGTCAAAGCAGTGTTACTTTGAACTAAGTTGTTTGTAAACTTATAAGCAACAATGCGGTATAGTTAATTGTTTGGGCTGTGGATTCAGAGAGACCTGGGTTTGTATTATACTTTTCTCACTTCTTACACATCTCACCTTGCAGTGTTCTAGCTCTCTGGGTTTCATGTTCTTATCATACAAATGAAGATAACTAGTCAGAGCATGAGTCAGGAGTAAGGAATGTAAATAAAATGAGATGTTACATGCAATGCCCTTAGCACATTGCCTGGTGCGTGGCATGCACCCAATAACTAAACATGTTATACTTGTTATTAGCTGCATCAAATAGGCTAATCTTTACTCATCCATTTCTCTATGGCATGAACCTTTGTGTGTGAAGATCTGAAACGGTGAAGATGTTAAAATATCCCCTCAAATTATCTTTTTTTAATAAGTCCTATTTTGGGTCCATTATACAATTCTACCAGTTCAGCCTACCTTAAAAGTAGGAGGAGGAGTATCTTGCCACAACGATGTACAGACTCACAGCAGGCTCAGTTATGTGTTTTTGTTTGTTTTTAATAAGAAAGGAGGATGCCTGTAGATGTTATTCCTGTTCAGCGATGACTGCAATGCGAGCATCCATGTACATCGCTCTCACCACCTCCCCATGTGCTCCAGTTCCAGGAAAGCCCCGCCTTCTGATTAGCCACACCCAGATGAACACCGCTCTCATTCAGTGGCACCCCCCAGTGGACACATTTGGACCTCTACAGGGCTACCGTCTAAAATTTGGCCGGAAGGATATGGAGCCGCTCACCACTCTTGAGTTCTCTGAGAAGGAAGATCACTTTACAGCCACAGACATCCACAAAGGCGCATCCTACGTCTTCAGGCTCTCGGCCAGAAATAAAGTGGGCTTTGGGGAGGAGATGGTGAAGGAGATCTCGGTCCCCGAAGAAGTCCCAACTGGATTCCCTCAGAACCTCCGCTCGGAAGGCACCACTTCAGCCTCCGTCCAGTTATCTTGGCAGCCCCCTGTCCTGGCAGAGAGAAATGGCATTATCACCAAGTATACCCTTCTGTACAGGGATATCAACATCCCTCTTCTTCCAATGGAGCAGCTTATTGTTCCCGCTGACACCACTCTGACACTCAGTGGCTTAAAACCAGATACCACATATGATGTAAAAGTACGTGCTCACACGAGCAAAGGGCCCGGGCCATATAGTCCCAGTGTCCAGTTCAGGACACTGCCTGTGGATCAAGGTAGGATTTGTCTGCTTATGGCCTTCCTCCTTTAAAGGAATATCGGTCTTTGGAAATCAGTATTTTGAAGCTATAAATATCTGATCGACCCATTCATATTAATAGGTTCAGCCAAAGCCAAAAGGTAAAGTATGTGAAACTTAATAAGTTTTGGATGCCTTAGATTTCAGTTATAGAGTGCCAAGCAAGTCTGGCTGACAGCACCCCCATGCAATGTCCTCAGGTAAGGAGAACACAATATAGTTGACTGAAATGGAGAGAAAGGAGAGATCTTTGTGAGGATGATGTATTTAAATGAATGCTCTAAACAGGTAGGCAAATCATACTTCTCTCTCTCGTCCAAGTAGAAAGCATCCAGCTTAAATCCTTATGGTCCATGGTGGAAAAGGACAGGTCATGGTTTTTAGGAGTAGTTTAAATACACTGTTTTTCCTTTTCCAGCAGTGTTTGCAAAAAATTTTCATGTCAAAGCAGTAATGAAGACTTCAGTGCTACTGTCTTGGGAGATTCCAGAGAATTATAATTCTGCCATGCCTTTCAAAGTAAGTTGTGTTCTACTGTGTAAGAAATCCCAGGTAAAAGTGGAGGGGGCAGTTCACCTGGATCAGTCACCTACAAAGCAAACAGGCGGCTTTGATTCTGGTACACATACTGCTCGTCTCATTTGTGGCTTTCACATCATAGACTGAGTCTGACACTTTGGCAGTGTGACCTTTCCACTCTGAGGGGGCAGGAGCTCAGACCCAGCGCTGACATTACTCTGGAGGTGACCTGTTTCCAAGTTGAACTTCTTGCCTCGAAGCTACTGTTTTTGTTTTTCCACCAGAAAGTGAGATTTGTCTAGTTTCTACCTAAGTATAATGCGATAGATTTTTAAAAATATGTTTATTGGCCTGAATTCTTTGCACATTTTAAACTCCAGTTGAGAGTTTAAACTCCATTGAGACATGCGGAGAGATGCTATGAAATAAAGAGGGGAGAAATATTTTTGAAAGTTAAAATAGATTTAGGAACAGAAATGTAAATGTTTAGAAAAAAGTGATGTGTGCAATACATTGGAAACCTAAAGCGTTCCTGCACACGTTCCATTCTGTCACATACAACTGACAAGTCAAATATTGGAAAGCTATTGTGCATTTTTTTGTGTATTTTTTGCTAGAGTTAGAAACTTGATATCATTATGCAGTAAGAACTGAATGAAAAATTGATGCAGTCTCTAGAATTTATGAGTGCTTATTGGTTTAAGAATTATCCCAAATTAAAATTGATCTGATATGCATTTTCTAAAGGCAAGTGCACATGAGGTTAGAAAATATACATCACCTCTCTGATAAGCAAATCTCTGTGATTGGTTGTATCTCTCTAGATTCTTTATGATGATGGGAAAATGGTAGAAGAAGTAGATGGTCGAGCTACACAAAAGTTGATTGTCAACCTGAAGCCTGAGAAGTCCTACTCATTCGTGCTAACAAATCGTGGGAACAGTGCTGGGGGGCTGCAGCACAGGGTGACCGCGAAGACCGCCCCAGATGTGCTGCGTACCAAGCCTGCCTTCATTGGGAAGACCAACCTGGACGGCATGATTACTGTGCAACTGCCCGAAGTACCTGCAAATGAGAATATAAAGTAAGTTGATTGAAAGCTTGGGGCTGAAGGATAGAAATGCCAGTAAGGAACACAAGTTAAATCTCTGTGTTCCAGTGTTGTAAAAGATTGTGCCTAGCCAGTGTGGCTCAGTGGATTGAGCATCGTCCCACGGACTGAGAGATCTGGGTTCGATTCCTGGTCAGGGCATATGCCCAGTTTTCGGGCTTAGTCCCCAGTGAGGGGTGGCAGGAGGCAGCTAATGATGTTTCAATGTTTTTCTCTCTCTCTCTCCCTTTTTTTCTCTCTCTCTAAAAAAAAAAAATCAATAAAAATGTATTTTTAAAAAAAGAATAGATTGCTGTACATAGAGTAACAGATTCTTTTACATAGGCTTGTAGCTTTGTTACTCGATTTCTGTTGCATCGTGTTCTGGTGGTCACTGTATACAGAGTCTCATTAATTTAACAGAGTATTTTCTATGTTCCAGAAACAGTGTTACTAGGAAAGATAGAATGGCAAACAGAACATGGTCATTACTATAAAGGAGTTCATGTCATAATATACAGAGTAAGGTGAATGGTTGAGTGACTCTAATATGTGGCAAAATGTTGAGGGGAAGGCTTACAAAGTACTATAAGGCTAAAAGAACTATTGGGAATTTGATAAGCAAAAATACTCTATGACACTAATATTTTCTACATGTGCTGAAAGGTAGAAATTTCAAAAGTTAAAGTTCAGAATGACATTGGAAAAACCATGTAAGTTAAAAATGCAGGTTTTCTGGATTCGATGGAGCACAATTTAGAAGCCAGTGGACCTGCCATGGAAAACTAAATCATCAGTTAAGCAGTGTTTTTTTTTTTTTTTTAATGTATTTTTTTATTGATTGATTTTAGATATAGAGAAACATCGATTTGTTGTTCCATTATTTATGCATTCCTTGGTTGATTCTTGTATATGCCCTTAATCGAACCCATAACCTTGCCATATTGGGACAATGCTCTAACCAACTGAGCTATCCAGCCTGGGCCAGTTAGGTAGCTTATTGGTTGTATATAGTTAGTTTGTTGTAGCCAATAGAAAAAAAGTATAGCACTGAAGTATATTAAGTATGATTTCTATGATAGGCCCTGGAGGATAAAAAGGATATGGCTCAGTTGGTTGAGCATTGTCCCATGCACCAAGAAGTTGCTGGTTTGATTTCTGGTCATGGCACATGCCAGGTCCTTAGTAGGAGGCATGTAGGAGACAGCTGATAGATGATCCTCTCTCACATTGATCTCTCTCTCTTTCTCTCTCTCTCCCCCCTCTCTCCCCCCCCCTCTTTTTCCCTCTCTCCCCTCCCATTCTTCCTCTCCCTCTTTCTTTCTCTCTAAAATCAATAAAAACACATTAAAGAAAAAAAAAAAAGAGATGCGATCCCTGTCTTCAAAGAGCTTACCATGGAGTGGGGGATACAGAGAGAGAGATGTAATATATATTAAGGATGGAGTTATACTCTATCTTAAGAGCAGCCAAACTGCATGGGGTGGGTCAATGAAGTTTCTGAATTTAATTTTGAAGAGTAAATAGGCAGACAAGAAACCAGAGTGAGAAGATTATGTGCAAAGGTGCATGAGCACAGGAAGGAAGTGGTTCTGTAAGGCACGTGTGCAAGCATGATGCGAGGTGTGCAAGGATCAGCTCGTACTCAGAAGCCAGAACTGGATTCTGTAGACAATGAAAAGCTGTTAAATGGCATGATACCATTTCTGTAATGATCAAGTTTCCTTTTCTTTGTTTTAGGAAGTATTTATTATTTACTGCATGTTAGACACTGGGCTCCCTGCTTGGGATAAGACTAGATCCTTTCTCATTTCTTCTGCCTTGCACAATCGAGTTTAGATGAAATGTGCTATGAATGATTTGAAGGCCACATAGACGCATGGTTACAACCTAGTCTGCAGACCCTAGGAGCCTTGGTGTAGTGGCTCCTGAAGGTGTATGTTACTGGGGATTGGAACTGCATGGAGAGAATTGTTGGGAAGTCATCACACAGTTAGCTGATTGTGGAGATGCTGATGGTGGATCAGCGCAGGGGCAAGCGCAAGCATTAATGCAGTAGGAATGGGAAGCTGCTTTCATGACGAGATCAAGGCAGAGAAGGATGTCCTACATGGCTTGGAGGTTGGCGTTTGGATGTCAAATGAGCGATGCTGCCATTCGCCCTAAAGGATAAAGAAAAATCAAGAAGAAATTAATGAATTTCATTTTGTCTGTATTTTACATCGAGGTATCAGTGAAATGTCTAATTAGAGATGTGGGCTCAAAGAATTCACGAGGATTAAAGATAGATATTTGGCAATCATTAACAGAGCAGCAACGGTTTCAGGGGAGGTGATAGTCACTGAGACAGTGAGGAAACTATGAAGCAAAAGACTAATAGTGAAGGTCTCAGTTATTAGGAGTAAGGGAGGGCGTGGAGGACACAGAGGAAAGCGTGTGAGGAAGTCGGGAACGGAGCCAGTCCAGAGTACAGGAATTTTTAAGGATATGGGAACATTAAGAAATTTCCAAAGCTCCAGAAAACATGAAGAGTATGATTGAAAAATTAAGCTATTAAAAGTAAAATTAGCCCTGACCAGTGTGGCTCATGGTCAGAGTGTCAGCCCCTGCACCAAAGGGTTGTGGGTTCCATTCCCTTTGAAGGGCACATACCTGGGTTACAGGTGTGATCCCTGCCTCAGGGCATGTGCTGGAGGCAACCAATCAATGTGTCTCTCCCTTTCTCCCACTATCTCTTAACACACACACACACACACACACACACACACACACTTAAGGGATGATTTTTTTTTTTAATGTATAATTATAAACAAGAAGTTTTTAGTATAGTACAATTTGTGAAATTTAGGAGAGCATGATAAATTTGGCTACTTGAGACTCAGCCAGAAACAATCCTTCCTGAAAAAACTTTGCTAATATTTATTTGATAAAATAATTGGAGGATTTCAACTAGATGATGTAATTTCCAAAAGATTATTGCTAAACTAAATTCGCTGAGAACTGAGGTCTTCATTTCTGTTCACTCTCCTTTTTCTAGCATTCGCAAATCTGAAAATATGAGTGAAATATTAGTGCGATTTTTATTCCAATACAATGTAATAGGAAGGTGAGCTTATATTTAGCTATCGGTTTATTTAACTATTCCTTGGATATTTTGGGGTCTCCCACCATATTGTCAGGCAATGTTTCAGGGGTTTAGTGGGTAGAATACACTTTTCATTGTTATTACTCAACACAGTTTCATTGGGGAATTTGGACAAGTCAAAAAATCAGTTGAAAGGGAGACCTGTGCTACTAAAGATTAGGCAAATGAGGAAGGTGATAGAGGGTCTCCTGTGTTGCTTTAGTAGGGGAAGGGGTCCTGGCAAGAGTGACATCTAAGCTGAGGCTTAATGAATGACATGAATGTAACTGGTCCATGGAGTGGGGGTGGGGAGACACTTTCAGGAGAATGGCGTCGTGATAGTGCATAAAGAAGGTAAAGACTGGCATCCGTCCACTAAGACTTTGTTATTGGCATCCAATGAACATATCTTCTGTGCACACTATATTCCCAGTGCTTCACCTGGGAATACAGAGACAGCTGAGAGAAAGCCCTACCTTATGGTGGGAGAACAGATGCAGAAAATAGGTCATGTGAATGGGGTCCGTCTGCCCGGTACTGTGGAAACATAAGTACAGTATAGAGTTTTAGCCCAACTTGGATGTCAGGGGAGGTACGGGAAGGAGCTAATATCAAACCTGAGTCTTGGAGGATGAAAAAGGTTTAGAAAAGGTGAAATAGTTGCCAACAATGAAAGAACAGGAAAAAGATATGGACTGTAAATTCAGTCCATGAAAATAAAAGGCACCGTCGATTCGGGGAAAGAGCCGCTGAGAGGTGAAAAGAGGAGAGTACGTTCTGTAGTGTCTACTCTTAGTCTTCAAGATTTTATTGGTAGGGAAAAAAAATTATTTGCAGTGCATATTTACCAAATTGGCTTGGTAGAATGTGTTAGACGTTATTGGGAGGTGGCATTTTATTCCGTTGGTGGGAGACTTTTGTTTCATTTTCCAGCTCCTGGGGAAGCTGAGAATCCTGCAGAACCCAGTCTATCTCTTAGCGCTGTTCTTAGCTCGTGTACTTTTCCTCTGCGTGTGCTTTGTGTACTTCCTCCTCCCACCTTTGAACTGGGAACCTGGGAAAAGGGATGAGTTTGGTTAACAAAGAGAAGAGACCTTTACAAAACAGAAAAAGAAAGCAAACGATTTTGGAAAAATAATATCTTCTAGAAGTGAATTAAGATTCTCAGAAATATACTCCAGCCACGCTGGGGAAAAGAAAAGAGCGGAAGACTAACCTAGGGAAGTACTTGAGTGGAAAAGTACCAGAACCACCGGAAATGAAAAAGCAAATCTCCAGTTAGAAACAAAACAACACCACCTAGATAATTTATATTTGGGGGCTTTTTACAGTTTGAAGTTACCCATCTTTTCTTCTAGGTTGATGCATGTGGTATGGTGAACTATTACATGAATTTGTGCCAAGTTGTGCCACTTGCAGCAATTGGCAAGTACAGAAATTACAGAGGGTTGTAGCTTTTTGTTCAGTATTTTATGGGTGAAATGAGGGGAGGAAGCAATTGGTTCCAGAGCTGTGGGGTGGGTTGCTAACTTTGATTTAGGTGAAAGCTATCTAGAAAAATGCTTCCAATTTGTTTTCTAGCCAAATGCGATTTGGGTGATTGAGGGGCTGTTTTGTTTATCAACAGAAACCATGCTTTTCCCATTTCCGGCCACAGTAATTGGGAGGTCTTGATCACTACCCCTAACTCCTCACCTCTTAAAAATGGATCTGTCTCCGGTAAATGCAATGCAGACACAGCCCCTTGCTTCTGTGTGGCTCCACACTTGGTTTTGTGGGGAGAAGCCGAAGTCCTCCCTCAGGGAAAGGCTGCACTTCTCATGAACCACCAGGGATTTTGTAGGGCTTCAGCCTTCTATTTGAATTCTTT